TCCTCCTTCACCTACTCCTCCGTCCTTCGCCTGGCTCAAGCTAGCAAGTAGGCGCCGCGGGGCTGCCAACGTAGCGTCGTCATCCGCGGCGCTCCCCTCGGGGAGCGTGCCCGATGAGGCGGGCGCGCCCCCGTCAGCTGGAGCAGCTTGCAAAAGCGGTAGCGCCCAAACGAACCTCATTCTGCCTCGGGGGGGCGCTGGCAGGCCACAGAAGTTTCTCGCTGCGCCAGCCCTTAGCTGTCGATCCTGGCACATCTGTCGTGGACCAGCCACTATCGAAACTGGTGATATTCGCCAGTGGCGAGGTGGAGGCCGCGCATTCCGACCAGGCCGGAGGCGACGAGGCCGAAATGCCACGGCAGTCTGACCACGGCATCGACGCTCTGGGGGCCGACGGCACGGCGCCAGCGTTTGGAGGGCGATCCGGCGAAGTGGCTGAGACCACGGTGGCCGTGGACATGGCTGCGCACCCCATGCGCTCCGCAGAGTCGGTCCAAGTGGCCTCCGTCGGCGTGCAAGCGGGGGGGGGGGGGGGGGCGCGGCTGCCGTGGACGAGGCCGCAGCAACCTTAGACGCCGCAGAGGCTTCACGTTCATCACCTCTCCTCGGCGGCGGCGGACCCGAGGGGGCCCATGCAGAAGTTGAGTTCATTCAAACATCCAAGCACGTCACATTGGCCAATCGCAATCTTCACGGTGTCGTCCCCCGCTGCTAGGATGCGGTGGCAAATAAGACAACGATGCTGGGCTTCCTCCAACAGGCGGAGGCCGCGGCATACGGCGCGGCACACAAGCAGGACATTATGTCCTTCGAGACTCGCAAGCTTGCGCGTGCAGACAGCGAGGCCGCCGCATATAGGACGGAGGCCCTGAACGCTGAATGCAATCAACAACGGGCTGCCTTCAAGGAGGCGAGCATCAGGAGCCGTCACTGACGCATAAATCTTCCGTCATCCCCTCCACCTTTTCCACCTCCTCCACCCTCGCCTCCTCGCGTTCCTTCTCATCCTCGACCTCCCCCCCTCTTCTTCAGAGGCCCGACCGAGTGCCTGCCGAACGGTGTCGTTCGCAATGGCTTCGGGCGGTGAATTGTCTCATGCGTCTTCGGATGAGGGTGCTAATGATCAGCCCGCGCGCGTGACGTGACATATTTTTTGGTCACGGCCTGCTGATGAATGACACGTGACGTTAATGTTCACTGGCGGGCGCAACCGCTCCCATGGGGGTCCATTCCTGGGCCGTGCTGGGGGCCGTTGAATGCGAGTTGGCAGAGGTTAGGAGGTGAGGAGGAGCGAGGGAGAATAGGAAGGGGCGAGGGGGCTGCGAGGGCTCGGAACACTTAAAAGTAACCATGCGCTTTTCAATCAAAATGGGAGGAGGGGGGGGGGGGGGGGGGCGGAAGGAGAAGGAGGAGGAGGAAGAGGAGGAGAGCAGTGAGGGAGGGGGGGAGACGGAGGAGGGGGGGGGAAGGAGGAGGAGGGGGGGTAGGAGGAGGAGAAGGACGAGGAGGAGGATGAGGAGGAGGAGGACGACGCGGAGGACGAGGAGGGTGAGGGGGGAGGGAAGGAGGGGCTGAGGAGGGGGGGGGGGGGGGGAGAGAAAAGGATAGAGGATAGAGGGAGGGGCGGAGGGGGGGAGGGGGGAGGAGGGGGAGGTGCAGGAACAGGAAAAGGAGGAGAAGGAGAAAGAGAAGGATGATGAGGAAAGGACCAGGATGTAGAGGGGGAATTGGGGGGCGGATGTGAACGGGAAGGCGGGTCCCCCCTCTGGTTTGCCGCTGCTGCTGCTGCTGCTCCTCCCCCCCCTCCCTCTCCTCGCCCTCTTCCTTCTTACCCCTCCTCCTCCTCCTCTTCTTTCTTACTCATCCTCCTCCTTCTCCTCCTCCAGTTCCTCCTCCTCCTCCTCCTCCTCCTCCTCCTCTTCCTCCTCCTCATATTCCCCCCGAGGGCGGGAAACGACGTCGATGCAAATGTGCAAGCCACGCGCCCCCAGGAGCTCGAGATATTGTATTCGCGTCGTCGGCAACCGATTCGTGTCTAGATGGAGTACATTAATTTTGAGACTGGCGAGGTATATGCGTTATTTGAAACGGTTTAATGCACGGTAGAGGTTTAGTGTATTGTTGCTGAGCATGGCGTGGACATTGATTGTTAGAACGTTATTCGTGCCATGGTTTTTGTTACCGTGTAGATTGTTATTTATAGTGTTAAGATTAGTTGATGAGGTGTCGCAATTTTTGTTCAAAGGACCTGCGGGGGCCCGAAAGTATGATATGCGGGAAGGGTCAGGAGGGCCACTGGGAGGACGGGAGGGGAGGGGGGAGGGGGGCAAGGGGAATGCCATGACCACCTGTGAAAACGATAGAGGGCGCAGACTCAGAAGGGGAGGACGGCCACTCGGGACGATACGGGTCAGGAGCATAACAAGGGGAGGGGAGGGGGAGGAGAAGGAGGAGGAGGAGAGGGAGGAGGGGGGGGGAGGAGTAGGAAGAGGAGGAGGAGGAGGAAGAAGAGGAGAGACCAAGATAAAGAACGACGGGGGGCAACTTGGATGACGGAATGATCGAGAACGGAAGGTCGACGGGGAGAATAGTGCCATGCAGTCCGTGTGTCGAGCAGCTGATAGACGCTCGCACCGACATCGAATACCAAACCGTTCGGGTGTGACCTGCTCGCGAGACCCCGTCGGTAGTAGGAAAGCTGGTCTTTGTTTCCTCCGCCGGCTCGCTCCATGCCATTCTCTCATCTGTTAGTGATCCGTCCTTGTTCCCCCCGTCCTCATCATAATTTTCTTGACTGTTCCCTGCTCGTCCGCTTCGTGCCAGACAGACCTCTACTCGCGCCAACGCCAACGTGCGTTTAGAAACCAGCCTGCTTTCGTAAAACCTTCCTGCGCCTGTGATCAATCAACCGTTGATTTCTCAGAAGCGCCTTTTATCTAAAGGCCTTCGGCCTAAAACCCGCCGCTGGAGGCTCTTGTTTTCTCCTCGGGGTATTCTCGAGGTCTGCGTGTTTGGGCGGTTTTCTGGTGACCTTGAAAAGGAGCTCTTGAACCACTAGCGGCCTTCCTGAGACGCTCGTGGGGGATTCTCTGGCCTCAGGTTATCCTTATGTTTTTCTTGCTGGGGGAGTGTGGATCAGAATATCGAGGCTGGGGGAGGCTGGGGGTGGAGGGGGGGGTGGGGGATTGGACGGGTCAGACAGCGGTAGACGGGCGAAGGGAAAAAGGGAGTGGATCTCGGATGGGGAGGGGTGGATCCTCGAGAGAATGAGGAAGTGGAGGAGGAAGAGAAGCAGCAAGCCTCGATGCCGATGAAGTCCAGGTTCACCATGCGCGCCTCGCCCTCCCACCTGCCCGTTGCTCGCGGGTCGAGGGGCGCAGGCCACGAAAGCAAGCAAGCAAGCAAGCACGCAAGCAAACAGCACACGCACACACCAACGACAATTACAACCCTTACAACAACAGCAACAACAACAACACCAACAACAACAACTACAATCATTTAAGACTGGGGACACTCCGTTCTCACCAGTGCCAGGGTTTTCATAGGAGGCGGGCAATACCCCCACTTTGTGGGGGGGCCGGTTCAAGCTCTACCAAGTTTCCAAACGACTCTTCGCCACCACCCACACCCAGCTTCCCGCCCTATGACGTTCGGACACTTCACTTCGTGGCATGCGGACGACCGTGGCTACTATTCAGGGCCCCGCGGCCGACGACGACGGCGTGCGCGCGCGAAGAAAAAACGAATGTGTCCCGCATGGTATTATTTGACAGGGATGATGGCCCTGGCAGGTGCGCAACCGTTGTCGCAGAAGTTCGAAAAAGTTGCTCGCAAAAGCCCGTTTGACAGAAATGTTTAAAAAGTGTTGGGTTTCCTACGAATCCGCAAGAGCGCGCGGGATGAGATTTTGACATTTTTTTGTTGAAAAACCATTGGTTTTTTGATGTTTTTATGTTAAAATCGCTCCGAACACTAAGCTTTTGGAAGGATTTCGTCTTGCGCGCGCGAATGTCCACTTTACCTTATTTTTTGCAAGGGATTCTTGAAATTTGATTATATTAGAACAAGAAATGTCATTTTATAGTGTTTTTTGCAAGGGAAAACGGATTACAACAAAACAACCGGATCTGATCACATCGTTTACCTGAGGCTTCCTCACGAAAATGATGAAAATGTAGCTGCGGCCTAGGCGGCGCAGGGGGGCCGTGCACCAGGGGTCCCAACAATAATTATTCTTTAGAATTAATAATGTTCAACAACACTACGACAACGCAGCGCCGAACTTGTAAATGCGTGGGCAAATTCGACGGTGCACCAGATAAACATAGCACGCTCAACAGGATTGACCCCGCAGACGCAACTGCGCGGCACCATTGTGACGATCGTGCCCCCGAATGTGCGCGGCGCTCAAGCGATGGCCTCATTTTGAGTAGCAGACGCTTCCGATGTCTGAACCTGGCGCAACATTTGCAAACGAGTGTGCGCGCCGCTCAGGCGAGAGCCTCATTTTCAACAACATACTCCTCTACCCTTGCACGTTTAGGTTAGATGTTGCATTCGATTGTCATAATCATCACGTCATGAAGTGATGATGTTTAAATAAGCATTGCAGGGTTCTGATGTTATGATGATGTAATGATGATGCTTATCCAATAGTCATCATGGATATGCCACAGCACGATAGCAAACCAAGGACCCCTGGGTCAGGCGCGCGCTTCCCTCGAAGAAGAATGACTACCATAAGCATGAACGTTTGGCGCTCCGCGCGTATTTCTTTGGTCCGCGCTGGGCCCCCCCCCCCGCCAGCTCCTCTGGCGCCGCCACTGGCGCGCTCCGCGCGCCAGGGAGGGGGCTCCAGCGCAGATCCAAGAGATCCGCGCTGAGCGCCAACCGTTCATGTTTATGCAGTTTCTTTTTCTTGTTTTTTTTTCTTCTTCTTCTTCTTATTCTTCTTCTTCGTCTAGCCTCTTCCATGTCACCCCGCCGTCGGACCCCAGGCGCTCATCGTCGACGGCATCCGGTGCGAGCCCCCCCGCGCCTCTTTTTCTGCTCCTCTCCGGCCAGGGCAGGGGCCGCGAAGGGGCGGCGAAGGTTCGCTGGGCGCCGGCCACAGTCAAAGCCGATAGGCAGTGAGGATGCGGTGTTTCATCAATGGTTCAAGCAGTGGCAAAGCGTCTTGGCGTGCCTCTGTGGTTTCCACGAGCTGTGGTTTCGGCTTGTGGTTTCCACGAGCTGTTCTTCGAACGTTTCTGGCTGGGACTGCCTTGCTTAACACATCGTGCTTATGTACTATAGGAACATTGCTTGTGTTCTTAGAACATTTTGTGGTTCTACGAACATGTCGTGGTAGGCCTATCGGAATGCCGGGACGGTCAGTCCCTGCTCAAATGGTCACGGCTACGCACTCTGTTCGGAGAGCCGAGCTGCAACAATAGCAAGCATAGCATTCTGCAGCACTCCGGATGGGTTTCAGGGGCTGGACCCTCCTCCCCCGCACCCCTGGACGAGCGCTGGGTGATGAGTGTCAGCTCCGGCCGAGAAATCCGCGCCGCACCCCGAAAGTCCACGTCTCTGAAGTTACATGTCGGCACGTCCTGATTAGATGTTGCTGGCCGTGCGCAGTTTGAAGTTGTTCAGACGTGCTGATGTCCGAGGGCGCTCTGACCTTACAGTGTATCCCTAGCATTTCGAGCTGACGCAAGAAAAACAATAGTCCTAAGATCGGTGTTGCTGCATGTTCAGCTCGTGCCTTCTTGAGGGGAAGCAGGGGGCGATGACGAGCTGCACTGCGTTGCACTTGGTGCAGACAGACACTGCTTCGCAAACGTTATTGTGGCGTTCCCCCATTTGGTTGTACGCCCGTGCCTGGCAGTTTTTTCGCCCCAGGGTCCACCCGATTTCCGCGGACCTGAAGTTTATGTTGGCTCTGCGCATGTGAAGTCGGCACTTGTTGAATTCATGGTTAGTGCAGTTGCACGGCGGCATCTATATCTCTGACGCTTCGCTTATCCCCACCAGGGACCGAGGTAATCAGCTTCTCCAAACAGTGGCCGTCGGAATGCTTGTGCCTGATACGGTAATTTTGGTGCCAGTCAAGGCGGAAGTACGCCCACTTGTCGCTAGGCTTGATCTTTTCGTGGACTCTGAACCTGTCGCATTCGCCCAGACGCGTGAGCTTCTCCACCGCTGTGATCGTCATGTTTACGGCGACTGATTTTTTTCGACGGGGTTCACAGCGTGTCCGTTCGGTCCCGTCGTCGCACGGCTCAAATTGGGCTCTGCTCTCAGTCCACTGATTGCGTTAAGGTGGGAGCCGCGATCCCTTTGGGCGTAGGGCCAATCGTGGGGAAGGTGGACGGCGCCTGGGACGTGGCAGATGGGAACCTCGGCGAGCGCCCTCTCCGCTGGGTGTGATGCGGGGTGCTCGAACAGCAGCTGGGTCTCGAGTGCGGCGGCGAGCTGGGGGGGAGTTAGGTGTTGCCTGAGCCTGGGGCCACGACTTGCTCCAGGGCCTGGGGCTGTGAGAGGGACGGCTTCGCGCCCTTGCCGTGCCACAGGGCGGGGAGACGGCGAGCCGCGTGCCTGGGTTGGGTCGGGCAGCGGGGGCGCCCAGCAGCTGGAGGACGGGGGGCGCCCCGAGAGGTCGTTGCAGGGGGTCTGCCGGCGGCTAGCGAGTGAGGCCGTGGATAGCTTGGGCGTCCTCGGACGGGGACGGGTCGGCGTCGTCGCTCCATGGGGAAGCCCGGATGGGGTCTCGTGTTGCTGGGGGGTCAACCGTGGTGCCGAGGGGGGAAGCGTAGTCACATGGTATGTCGGGGAGATGGTATACAATCCGGGGCCCTGACCATAGAGCACACATGTGCGTCGCCTACACCTGCGCCCGCACCATCATGCGCACGCCTACCCAGCTGCCACCAACCAGCCGTGCAGAGATCGACCGATGAGATGGTGGACGTCGCCTTGCGGGATTTCATCCATAGGAGCATCACCACCCCCAACATCAACCACATGGACCTACATCACACGGCAAGACCGACTCACATACCAGGCTACAGGAATGCGCGGGCGCGCACCGACGGAAACGGCCGCGAAGCTACGCAAATACGAGCACATCGATTTGCAGGCCATGCATGGGCACGGGCCACGGACATGGCGGAGAGGAACCTCCTCTATTGGGCCCGCGAAGAACCGGGATGGAAAGCGTCGACCAGACCCACGAGGGACTGTCTGCACAGGTGCAGAAGATTGCAGCTTTTCACGATGTTCAGCACGAAGCAATCCACTCGCGAAGCCGCGAAGTGTCCTGCGCCACCCACGCGACGGGTCAGACTGGACACGTCTTGGATTACAGCGGGGCCTTGCCCCTGCTGCTGCGCTTGACCGACGCGCTCGCCACTATGGGAGCCATGGGCATGCGCCCTCGCGGCGACACTTTTCTCTTCGACGACGTCCCCCACGTGGCATCTCAGACTCGGGCGGGCCTCCACGCGTGAGAAGGGGGCGCAATCGGCGACCCGGTCCCACTGTTTGAGGTCGCCTACGGGGAATTCATTCAAGCACCTGCAGAACGTCAGCGCGGTCTGCACGGTGCCCATCAACCGTTGCAACGAGATCCAGGAAAGGTGCGGCATGCACTCCGACCCACCCTCAAACAGCCCCGGCGTGGTGCAACTTCGGAGATGTAGCTTGGCAAGCGCCGGTTGACGTCATTTGCGACGGGGGGATCCAGGGCCACCGCGTTCCGACCAACCTGCTACCACAAGCGCAGGCAATCAGGATTGACGGGCCGCCGCGCACGCAGCCGGTCCCATTGGATCGCGCCAGGCTGCGTCAACGTCTTCGGCTGCGTGTAGGTAATGGTCGCTGGTATTCTAAACTGATGTCGCACATCACTGCGCACCTGCGCCAAAAAGGGCACCGCGTGCTGGAGTGGCTGAGGACATCCTATCAGGGCGCCCTCGTAGACGCGCGCGAGGCGGAGCCTCAGCTTAACGCGTTCGGAACGCGCGCCCCCGCAAGCGCAATTTGCCCATGGCGCAGCGACGCCCAGCTAGCGAGATGCGGAAGGCCAAGACGCGAGCAACCAGCGCCAACCAACCCGAAGACAAACAACAGGGCAATTGCCACCAATCCGACCTTACATGCCCCCTACAAGGCACGGCCCAAAACGCCGCAGAACTCGTTGTCGCCTTGTTCCCTGCTGGACTTCCCGACCTGGAGCCCGCGAGCGCTCGACGAGGCATCCCGGCGCGCGGGGGCCCCGAAGGATTGCCAGTCGCACCCAAACATCGACTGCCTGTGCCCAGACCATGGATCGTTTCCACGTACGAGGGCACGGGCTTCGCCTGGACTCACCAAGTGTACATCTAGAACCTGAACACCAGGGAGACGACGTGGGCATACCCAGGCAATGCACTTCTACAGGCAGGCTGCAAGAGGGACCGATGATCCGACGGCGTGGACAGCTGCTACGTCGACAACGATCATCCGAAAACTCCGACATCATCCAGTGCCCGCCGATGGCCGTCCCAACGAGGACGCAGCCGCTACCGCCACCGACGCCCCCCGCGCCTCCGAGGCAGCGGTCGCCACCACCCCATGCTCGGCCCCATGCAGTTGACATCGCCCCCCCGCCCCCCTCGCCGCCGCCATCGCAAAGTACCGCGACATTGCCAACTTTGCGGCCGGCGTGAACACACCAAATCAAGCAGTTGATTATGGGCGACAGCGATGTGACCGACGTGAGATTCTCCGAAACCGGCATCGGTCGACGCATGCGCCTTTTACCCGCTAACCAACGCGACAAAATTGGCACCCATTCGGGATTGCTCATGGTCGTCGCAGAGATCTACCCAGCACAGCTGCACTTTGCAACCACTGACCCAAGCTTTAACTTACAAAACGTGACTCCGACGGCACTTCTGCGTGACCTAATGGCCGCCGCGGTCCGAGGGGCACCCGCCCCCCCCGCAACGAGGGGCCAGTCGCCAGCATCAACCTACGAGCCGAGCCTGAGCATCCGGAGGCACATAGGGAGTCCATGGCGACGACATCTGTGCCGCCAAAGATACGCCGAACCTATTCTACGAAGCTCCATCGGCAATGCTGACGCCGGCCCCGATCGGGCAGCCCGCAGTCGCTGGAGCAGCATATGGCGGCGAGGGAAAGCAACCAAGCGCGCCTCCGGTGCAGCAGGGGCCGCCTGCAAAGCCGCCGCCGAAGACGACGCGCAAGAACGAGATCAACCAGCGGCCAGTCGCGAGCCAACCCGCGGCGAATTGGGGCGCCACAGACCCGAGGGATAACGACGGCGACTCCTGCGGCCTCCGAGACGCGGCCTTCGAGCTCGCAGAGCGAACACCACCTCTACCACCGCCAAGCGCGACAACGCGGATGAAGACCAGAGAATGCAGTCACGACATCATCGAGTGCCTGACCGTTATGATCAGGCACGACCCATGCGAGCGCGAGCAGGTGATGTCCAACATGCGCACCAACAAGGCGATTTTCTGTTACTACGATGAGATGATTGACCTGGCCGGCACAGCAGAGGCCGACCATCATGCAACAGCCTGCGACTTGCGCGTCGAATGCGATCAGGTCATAGCGTGCGTGGAAGGGGCTCAAGAGTTACCGCGTGCCCTACGAGCTGCGGGGCGCGCGCCCGATCTGAATGAATCAGCGACAAAGGGGCTGGGCAAGCTACGCCAACCGCTGCTTGGCTAGCGCGCTGACCTGCCCGAAGCGCCGCAGCCGCGACGACGTGCCTGATCGAGCAGAGGTGCTATAGCATGAGAGGCATCTTCACGGGCATCAAGGTATCTATTCGACACAACCCCGCGCGCTCGCCGACGTCATTCTTCGTCACTGACCTACAGAAGGGAATCGAAATTGAGGCAAGTGTCTAGTTGGCCGAACTCATCAGTAACCATGCGCCCTTGCCCGAGAGCAACGCACATGACCAGCATGACATGCAGCCGGCGCCAGACCCACCGACTGCATGCCACCTGCCGTCGCCCACCGAGCCCCGCAGCGGGGCCATGCCACCCCCAGATGGACACCTGGACCAACAGCCGTCGACGTCAGGGCCGCGCGCAGTAGAGCAAGCCAACAACGCCAACTTGGCGCAGCCCAAGTGGGCCGCGATCTCGGCGGGCTGAACCTGATTGCGCAGCACCGCTGACCACAATGCCGCACCAGACGCAGCGGCGCGCGATCGGCGACACCAGCACGGCTGCTACGATCCGCATTTTGATCACGGACCACTGCGCCAGGCGCGACGCATCCCACGCCGGCTAGCGCAGGCAGGCGACGACGCCGGCCCCGGGCAGGCACCCAACATCATCCACCACGACGACCAGCAGGAGCCGGATATGGAGGTTTTCCCTTTCCACGGGCCCGACCCGTGTAAACCGCGGCGATCTACGCGGACGCTGTCAAGGGCCAGCACGACCCACCAACGGCGAATCAGGAGACCTTTTCCCTGATCGCCCGCGTCGCGAGGCAATCCTCGTGATCGGGCCGGCTTGATGGCGGCCGATCAGTTCGCTGTTTCCTCATACTCTACGCTGCTTAAATGCAGACGGGACCGCCAGGTGCTTCACGCCCACCTCCACCTCTACACTCAGTATCCTTGAGCCGTCACATACGCACTCACCGCAAAGACGGAACAGCACAGCTGGTGGTACGGGAATCATCTTTTGTTGGCATATCTCGCGAGAACATCGGTGGCGACGGCGATCAGGGCGGGCGTCCGCGGAGTTTGCTCACCCACTCGAGCTCAGACCATTGCTGCAAGATGCCCGTGGGCCCCCTGTCCCCGAGGGGCTTTCTCACCCGTGGCGCATGAGGGCTCTGCCAACCTCCATTCCCCAGTGGTTCGCCTTCTTGTAGCCCTGACTCCCCCCCCCGCTGCGTCCATCCGACTTCCACCTCCCCACACCTTCATGTGATGGGGCATGGGCAAGGTTTGCGCTCGCTGGCAGGAGGGGGCTGGGATTCGCCGCGGGCCGCCGTGGCAAGGGCCACGGTGGCCGCGGCCGCCGGCCATCGGGGCACCCGACCCAACTCTTTTTCAACCTCTGCCGCCAGGATTCTATCTCCGCTTACCGCCACAGCGGCTCACGCAGCGACACAGGCGCCTTTTCTTGCCTCCGCGGCCTGCCAACCGTCCAGGGGATGGGGTTCAGGTGCCATCGAGGAGCGGGTCGGTCGGGAGAGCAACACACGCGCGGCGCGCCGCCGCCGCGGATGGCACAAACCACCCCCGAGCACGGTGGAAACCCCCCAAGCGGCCACCACTCCAGCGATCTGGCTACCCTAGTCCTGCTTCGGCAGGGGAGGGCGCCAGTCATGGGGATGGTGGCTGTTTCGGGGGGGGGGGTCCTACGTGCAGAAGGTGCAGCCTTTCTGCCATCCACCTTGGCGAGTGTGGCCGCCGCCGCTCTCTGCGAAAGTCGGAGGCCCGCCGCCGCCTGCAGGGCGCGAGCCTCCCTCCCTCCTGCTCTGTGGCCCCCCCCCCCCGGCGGCCCCACGGTCATTGTGCTGGGGAACCTGCTCTTGTTTTCCAGGCGACGGATCCCGCTTGACCCCGGGGGAGGCTGAGGGAGAGGCCCTCGCGCCCTCCCTGCCGGCGAGAGCCGCACACTGCTGCGTCGCCACGCCGCCGCCGCCGCCGCCAATGTCCAACCTCTTGGCCACCAGGGCCTTTTCAAACTCGCTCACCAGCGCGCAGTCTCCCTCGCCGCGTTTCTACACGCTCCTCGTGCCCACCCCCCTTAGCTTGTGCCCCTGCCGCCTCGATGCCTGCAGGTGGCACGCTTGGCCACCTCGTCCATTAGCGCAACTTTGCGGAGGAGGCCCTGGGCACCTTCCAGATCGTTGGCAGGCGATTCGCAGGAGGGGGGACCCAGCTGAACCTCAAGAACACATGGCCCCAGGTCCCTCACCCCGTTCTTTTCCCGTCGCAACAACATTGTTCACCCCCCCTCGAGGTTACAGTTATCCTCTCCCTTCTTCCCCCCTCGTGGGCCCCGACTATTTTCGATTTGGTTGTACTCCCCCAGGGGCCTGGCTGGGCCTCACCGGGGAAAGCTGCAGCTTTCCACGAATTCCATTGCCAGCAGCGTCTCAGCGTCTCAGCAAGAAGGGGGCGGAACGGGTAGGAGTAGGAGGAGGGAACGTGGGTTGGCCAGGTCGATGGGAAGGAGTGATGATGACGAGGACGAATTGGAGGCGCTCGAGGAGATGGGGGAGCTAGAAGGGAGGACAACAATGATGGGGAGACTGAGGAGGAGGGTGAGACGACGGCGGGGGTCAGCGGGAACAGAAATACGATGAAGAGAAGAAAGTGGATTCTGGGAGTAGGGACGCCGAGGACGAGGAGAAGGACTCAGACCTACTCCGTTGTGCTACTTTCAGTACCTGCCCCGCTTGAAGCTCACAACCCCCTCCCAGAAGAATAGCTTTCATGATGTATGCTGAGAATTGTTTGATTGTTCTGGTGTCCGGAAATGCGCGGCGCCCCGACCACGTGACAGCAAAAACGCATTCCCACGTGCGTTTGTCAAGACGTTGGTGGAGGAGGAGGAGGAGGAGGAGGAGGCGGAGGAGGAGGAGGAGGCGGAGGAGGCGAAGGAGGAGGAGGAGGAGGAGGAAAAGGGGGAGGAGGGCCTGCGGGAGGGAGGAGGAGGGCGTGTCGGGGCAGCAGAACTGCCCGGCACCTGCCGCCGGGCCCAGCGCAGGCCCCTCGTGATCCCGGGAGTTCTCGAGCAAAGGCTCCTCAACGCCGAGCACGAAGCCGTCGTGCAGCGTGGGCGAAACTCGGAGGCGGCAAAGAGGGGGTTGATGACTAGGGGGTGGTGGACATCATGGCGGGGGCCATGATATTTCCCCCGCTGGGCCGCGCACATGCCGCCGGTCATGATTTGCACCCCTCCCTCTTGGACACCCCCCTCTTGGCCGCTCCCGAGAGCACGAAGCCATCGTGCAGCGCGGGCGAAACCAGGGCTCGTTCCGGCTGTTCCGGTTCGATCCGACCCGATGTCGATGGTTTCTGTTTCCGGCTCGATGCGATGTCGGATTCCGATTTGGGCCTCGATGTTTCAACGGAGGCCGCTTGGCCTGCCGACTTCAGCCGATCCGAGTTCGCACGATTTGTTTGCCAATTTCCGCCGATCTGATTCGGCTCGACCATTGAACTCCCCTAGTCGTCAGGCGTCCTTGCCCGCGCTCGGTCTTTCAACCCCCCCTTCCCCCTGGCAGTTGGCCGGGGCGGCGGGGCCGGACAGGTGGTGTACAGCGGTTCGTTGAGCCGATCCGGCCTGTCGACCCGATTCTGGGTTCTCCCGGCTTCGTGGGCGAAGCTCGCAGCCTTGATCCGTGGCCTCGCGGGCCGGGGTACCCCTGCGGAGTGCGGGGCGCCTCCTTCGCGGCGGCCCCTCGCGGCCGCGCGTCCGTGCGGCCGCGCATCAGCGGGCTCGCGCCCCAGAATCCAGGCCGCGAGGGCGCGGAGGCGCGAATACAGTCACCGCTCGCGAGTGCCGCCTGTGCGGGCAAGATTTTCTGGTCGCGGTGACTATGCGGTGGTCAAGGAACACACAGTTGCATAAACATTCACATGTTCGACGGTCCGCGCTTGGTTTCTTGAATCTGCGCTCGGCCACCCTGGCGGCGAATCCGGCGCCGCCCCTGGCGCGCTCCGCGCGCCAAGGAGGGGTTTCTAGCGCGGATCCCGAAATGTTGTGCGGAGCGTCGAAAGGTAGTGTTTGTGCATTTGTTTGTTCCTCTGGGTAGGGTTCGTTCAGGAGGGAAAGAAACACACAGACACAATTAATCGTCGATTCCCCCAATAATTTGGGAAAATATGGGAAGTGGGGGGGGAAGACGAAAACCTAGAAAATATGGGAAAATACGGGGAATATTTTTATTTGTGAGTATTTATGTGTGTGTCCCAAGGCCCCTTCAATCGTTGGCTCTGGATTCTCGCCCGGAGAAGCCTCGCCAGCCCACACTGTCTCGTTTGACATTTTCTCGAGCAGCACCTCCTGCAAGAGCCTCTGCGCGAGGCCCTCCGACTCGTAGGGTGCCTTCCTCGGGTCCGTCTTGCACTCCATGGCGCGGCGCAGCACCTGGAAACTGCACCTCCTGCTGCTTTGTCATGGTGCAGGGCTGCGTCACTAGCAAGTCGATCCGCTGCGCCATGCTGCGCCACAGCGTCGGGGCGCGCTGGCGGAGAAGCCGGGGATCCTTGATGCTGCAGGTCTCGGAGCTGCCGTGCCAGCTCCGCCACCTGCTGCTGCAGTCCCTCGGACTGATGCTGCATCCTTTTCGCCTCGTGGTCCCTTGCCTTGATCAGCTCAAAGGGAACTGGAGCTGAGCCTCGATGGAAGCGAGCGATTGTCGCAGTTCGTTTGCCGCCACGCACCTGATCGGATACGAGCCACTCGGCAGCCACACTTCTAACGAGTTGCCTCTGCCGTAAAATTGGATATCATCTTCTAGCAGATGTATTTACGGGTCAGATCATTCGACCGGTTCGTCAACGGATGCGATCCTACCGTGGGAGTTGATCAGTTGGTTCTTGATCTTTGTCAGGACGTTGCCGACTTCGAGCGCGAAGTCGGAATCGAAGACGAACACCCCCGTGTCTTCTCCTTTCCTGTGCCATCATCGCACTCGCCCGGCGCAAGGTCTGTCCTCCAGGATCTCTTTAATCGTTCCAGGTGTTCTCCTCCCCGCCCTCCTTGGAGTCGAGGCGTCGGCCTGCCCCACGCGCGCTCCGGGGCCCCTCCTGCCTCCTCCAAAAATTCTCTCGCGAAACACCTCCTCGGTGGCCTCTGCGATCTTGGCCGCCACGTACGGCGGGATGTCCCAGCATTCTGGAGGCCAGACCCGCTCCTCGTCGCCAGTCAGCACCGCGCGGCGAGGGAACGGTTCGCCACCACCGTGGCTGCGCTGGGCGCGGGATTACGCGGAATTTCTCAAGGCTGGCAAGGCGCGCTCCAAGCCTGAGGAGGAAGGAGGAGGAGGAGGAGGAGGAGGAGGAGGAGGAGGGGGAGCAGGAGAAGGAGGAGGATGAGGAGGAAGAGGTAGGTCTGGGGAGAAGGGGGAGGAGGAGGAGGAGGAGGAGAAGGAGGAGGAGGAGGAGGAGTGGGAGAAGGAGGAGGAGGAGGAGGAGGAGGAGGAGGAGGAGGAGATGGAGGTGGACGGCTCCCCCTTCCCTCTCCCTCCGCAGCCCCCTCCTTTTGAGCCCCCGGCAGGTCTGGCCTCCTGGAGATACCGCCCCCGATCCTCTCCCGCGTCTTCCAGGAGTCGCCCGGGCGAACGGAGGCGTTTATAATGGCAGTCGCTTGGCACGGGGCACGACACAGCCTGGTGCAGGGTCGGATTGGATAGGATCGGAGGAAAGCTCATAATGATATCTTAAAAATGAACATGATCGACCCACGAACCCGGAAAGGAATATGGAGATGAAAGACATGGCAACGTTTCAAAGACACCTGATTGGGCGGCCCTGGAACCGAACTATGTCCGTTCCAGAGCTATACGGGAACGCTTTAGAACAGCCGCAGCGCCCCTCGATACATCCTCCAAGCCCGCTGATTCTCAGAGATCTCCGATTTCTATCGATCCGATGTGGTCTTGATTATGCCTTCGTCGTAAGGAGATCGCCAACGGCATGGTGGCGCTCCACGACGCGGCGAAGATCGCGGAGATCCCCCTCCAAGCGAGTGGCCCAGCTCCGATGCTGGGACTTGTGCATATCCGCCATCCTGGGAGCCGATCAACCTGGACCTCCCCCGAGGCCCAAAATATATTCACATCTACCCCCTCGGGTCCTCGGATATCGATTGCCCAGGCGGTGGATGTGTAGCAGTCTCGGCCTCGCACCACCGCTATGCAGCTGCATGTAGTGCAGGTCAAACCGTGCGGACAGTGGTCTGCCGAGCCCACGCGCAGAGGCGCGCGTACTTCCCATGAGGACGCGATGACCGAGAGGAATGGGCGTTCTGCTTGGCTCTATCGGGCCTTGGGCCTCCAGGGTTCCATGCCGATTCGATCGGTCCGATTTGGCATCGGTTCTGTCCGGCTCTATCGGATTCGATTCGGTATTCCAGCGATCCGATGCGTCTCGATGGCATTGTTTCTGTGTAGGGCGATGCTGCGCATCTTTTGCGACCGATGGGGTTCGAATTGGATGCAGGCCGATCCGACGCACATTCCGATCCAATCCGATTTCCCGACTCGATGTTGATTGGCCATGAGCCCTCTTGAGTCGACACAGCTTGGACACATCAGCGGATAAAGTTTGATTGTTCTGGCCCTGGGATTTCACCAAGCTCTGGTTCTTGCCATTGATTCGGCGCAGATCGTCGGCATCGAGATGGCCGAGTTGGGGCTGAAAGAATTCGGCGATCTCTGACAGTATGTCACCATAATTACTGTTGGACAGGATTCGCTTTTGCTTTGAGGGCGAGCGTGGTGCGTTCAGTCAGTGACGAACGTCGTTCGCCCCACAGAAGCGTCTCTGAACTACGGGCGCGGGGCGCTGTCGCTTCAACAAAAATTATACCCAACACCACAGAGTGGCCGCGAATAGCCGCATGAACATAAACTGTTGGAGCTCCGCATGGACTTTGCCCCTCGGGAGGCGGAGCCTTGTCCCAGCTGGGCGCCCCCTCGTGCGGAGACGGCGTGGCTGCGCCCCCGAGCGGCGCCGGGATGTCCCCACCGATCTGCCGACTCCAGTGCGGGCGTGCCCAGGAGATACCCTTCCCGTTCCCCTACGCGCAGATCTGCACCTTCCTGCTGCTCACCCACTGGGCCCTCACCCCGCTGGTCACGCTGCAGTGGACCCCGTCGGCGGGCCACATCCATGTGCATACGTGTATCTGCAAGTTTGCACACACACATGCATTTACCCTTCGCACGTGCATATCACGTGAATCCATGTGTCGTGTGTGTAATCATTCAGTTCATCTGGCTCGCCTACGGCGAATCACCGCCGCTCCCTTCCTTTTGGACACGCCCATTCGGCCAAACGTTGGGGCACAGTCTGGCCAAGCTATTGGACTATGTGTTCCCCCAGCCGTTGCCGAGCCCCTTGGGGGAACATTGGAGAGATGAGAGAAATTGGGAGGAGAGGGATGAGGAAGAGGAGGAGGAGGAGGAGGAGGAAGAGGAGGGTGAGGAGGAGGAGGATGAGGATGAGGAGGAGGAAGAAGGGGAGGCCTCCCGAGGCCGTGAGGCCTCATGGAGGCCTCCTCTTGGAGCCCTCGTGGGGCGTCATAGGGGCTCATTGGGACGCGTGGCGGGCATCTCTGGCCGTGTTGGGGCCACCTTTGCCGTCTCGGAGGCGTCTTGGGGCCGTCTCCTACTATCGTGTGCGAACTTGGAGGCTGGATTGAGCCGTCTTGGTTGTTTGGGAGGCCATACAGGGTCCGTCTTGGGCCGGGAAAGCCACGACGAGTACATTTTCTGGGTGGCGGGGGTTCGTCCGGAGCCCGCTAGGAGTTTCTTGGAATCGAGCCAGAACGCTTCAGAAGATCAGCACGCCCAGCACCCGTACGTCGTGGATCGACAATGTCTACGGCGATTCCTTGCCGCCCCCCTGCCTCTTGGAGTCGCCCATGCTGCCGAAAACGATGTGGCCACAGCTCTCTGCCGAGCCATCGGTCGGCGGCGCGTGCGGGGGGGAGGGGAATTGAGAAGGGCCGGGCCTTCTCAGAAGGCTCGGAAGTTCTCGCGCCTTCCGAGAGGTATGAGAGGCCTTCCCCGAAGACACAGACGGTTTCTCGCAAGGCCTGACTGCGTATCAGAAGTCCCGCCGCCTTTGAGGAGGCGTTCTCCTCCTCGCTTCGGCCCTCGCTTGCCGCCGAATCGGACCATGTGTGACCCCAGCCGTTGTGGAAACCCTTCGGGGAACACGCGGGGGAGAAGACGAAGCGGAGGAGAGGGAGGAAACATTGAGAGGTAGAGGAGGAGGAGGAGGATGAGGAGGAAGAGGAGAAGGAGGAGCATGAGGCCTCTTGGGAGTCTCTTGGGACACCCTTGGGGCCTCCCCTGAGCTTCCTGGGAGCCTTTTGGAGACCTCTTGGGAGACTCCCTGGGCCTCTTGGGGGTCTTTGGTGGGTTCTCGGGGGCCCTGTTGGCCGTCTTAGAGCGTCCCCGTTCCGTCTGACTCCGTCGGCAGCCGTCTTGGATGCCTCTCTGAACTAACTCGGGGCCCTCCTGGGGAACTTTAGGGCCGTCTTGGAGGCCATCTTGGGCGTCGCGCAGGCCTCTTCGACCCTCTCGGGGCCCTCTTGGGGCCGTCTTGGAGGCTTATTGGGCCGTCATGCGGTCGTCTTGGAGGCCTTTTGGGGCCATCTTGTGGCGATCATTTGGGGCTTCTTGGGACGTCTGGGGCAGTCAGAAGGCCGAAAAGAAGCAAATGCCAAAATCCTTCAACACACATATGGACAAGCAATGATTCTGGCCTCGGGCATTCCTGGAGGACCTCTTGGAGGCCTCTCAGGCCGTCTTGGAGGCCTCTTGGAGGTTTTTGGGGCCGTCTTGGGGAGGCTTCTTGGGCGAACTTGGAGGCGTCTTGGACTCTCTTGGGCCGTCTTTGAGGCCATCTTGGACCCTCTTGGGCAAACTTGGAGGCAATCTTGGCCATGTTGGAGGCCTTCGTGGAGCCATCTGGAGCAGGAACAACTCTTGCAACCACCTCTGGAAGAGCCTTTCGGGTGACTGGCGGCACCGGCCGAAGCCCCAGGGGAAGTTCTTTTGGAAAAGAACCCGAACCAACCCCTCAGGACATCTAGCACGCCGGGCACCCCTTGGGCAAGCCAGCCGGGGGCGACGGATCGAAGACGCCTACGGCGAATCACCGCCGACCCCTGCCTTTTGGAATCGCCCACGTGGCCGAGCGTTGTGGAAACCATTCGGGGAACACCTGTGGGAGGATGGCGGCGAAAATCAGGAGGAGAAGGAGGAGGAGGAGGAGGAGGAGGAGGGGCATCTTGGGAGCATCTGGAGGCAGTCTTGGGGCCTCCGGAGCTTCTTGGGAACCTCTTGGAGGCATATTGGGGGCCTCCTTGGGCCCTTGGGGGCCTTTGTGGGCTTCTCGGGGGCCTCGTTGGCCGTCTTAGGGGATCCCTGGCCCGTCTGACGCCGTCGGAAGCCGTCTTGGGGGCATCTCTGGGCCTCTTGGTGTGCTCCATGGAGGCTTCGTGGGCGATCTTAAGGAGCTTATTTGGGCCTCTTCGGGTCTTCCTGGAGGACCTTCGAGGCCTCTTGGGCCGTCTTGGAGACCTCTTGGGGGCTTCTTGGGCCATCTTGGAGACATCTTGGGCCGTCCTGGTGGGCTTCTGGCCCGTCTGACGTCGTCGAAAGCCGTCTTGGGGTGGGGACCTCTCTGGGCCGACTTGAGGCCCTCTTTAGGGTGCTCCAGAGCCGTCTTGGAGGCCATCTTGGTCTTGGGGGCGTCATGGGCCGTCATGGGGCCATCTTGGAGGCCTCCTGGGCGATCTTGGGGCGATCTTGGGAGCCTCTTGGGCCGTCTTGGGCCGTCGGAATGCCGAAAAGGCGCAAATGCCAACATCCTTAAAAACCGAAGGAAAACCAATGATTTTGGCCTCGTCGGGCCCTCCTGGAGGACCTCTTGGAGGCCTCTTGGGTCGTCTTGGAGGCCTCTTGGGGGCCTCTTGGGTCGTCTTGGAGGCCTCTTCATGCTATCTTTGGCCGTCTAGGGTACATCTTGGGCCGTCTTGGAGGCATCTTGGGGCCATCTGAGCCGTCTTGGAGGCCATCTTGGCCGTCTTGGAGGCCCTCTTGGGGCCGTCTTGGAGGCCATCTTGGGGCCGTCTGGGGCAGGAACACCGTTCGCAACCACCTTTTCCGGGTGGCCGGCGGGATGTGACGAAGCCCCAGGGGGAGCTCTTTTGGAAAAAGAACCAAAACCAACAGCCATATAGTTCGGCACGCCCGGCACCCCTTTGATAAATCGCCAGGGGGCGACGGATCGAAGACGCCTACGGCGAATCACCGCCGCTCCCTGCCTTTTTGGAAGCGCCTATGTGGCCGAACGTTGAGGCCAGACCTGCCAAGCTATCGGATCATCATGTGTTCCCTGAATCGGTTTGGAAAGCCTTCGGGGAACACGCGGGCATCTTGAAGGTCATCTTGGCAGTCTGGAGGCCATTTTGACCCTTCCGGGTCTTCTTGGAGGACGTCTTCGAGGGCTCTTGGGCCGTCTTGGAGGCCATTTTGAGCGTCTTGAAGACCTCTTGGGCCGTCTTGGGGGCCTCTTGGGGCCGTGTCTTGGGCCTCCTGGGCGATCTTTGGGGGCACTTGGGCAGTCTCGGGCCGTCGGAAGGCAGAAACAAAAGCAAATGCCACAATCCTTCAAAAACCATTGGGAAATCAATGATTTTGGCATTTTCGGGCTTTCCTGGAGGCCCTCTTGGAGGCCTCTTGGGCCGTCTTGGGCCATCTTAGGGCCATGTTCGGCCGTCTTGGTGGGCTCCTGGTCTGTCTGACGCCGTCGGAAGCCGTTTGGGGGGCCGACTTGGGGCCCTCTTGGAATGCTCCAGGGCCGTCTTGGAGGCCATCTTGGGCGTCTGAGGCCTCCTGTGCCGTCTTTGGGGCATCTTGGGGCCGTCTTGGGGCCCTCTTGGGCCGTTCTGGGGGCATCTTTGAGGCCTCTTGGGCGATCTTTCGGCGATCTTTTGGGGCCTCTTGGGCCGTCTCGGGCCGTCGGAAGGCCGACAAGAAGCAAATGTCAAAACCCGTGAAACCTTTGGGAAATCAATGTTTTTGACCTCTTCTGGCCTTCCTGGAGGGGGCCTCTTGGGCCAGCTTCGAGCCAATTTCGGCCATCTTGGTGGGTTCCTGGCACGTCTGACGCCGTCGGGAGCCGTCTTGGGGGCCTTTCTGGGCCGACTTGGGGCCCTCTTGGGGCGCTTCGGGGCCGTCTTGGAGGCCATCTTGGGCGCCTTGGAGGCCATCTTGCGCGTGTTGGAGGCTTCTTGGGCCGTCTTGGGGCTCTCTTGGGGCCGTCTTGGAGGCCCCTTTGGCCGTCACGGGGCCGTCTTGGAGGCCTCTTGGGCGATCTTGGGGCGATCTCGGGGGTCTCTTGGGCCGTCTGGGGCCGTCGGAATGCCGAGAAGAAGCAAATGCCAAAATCCTTCAAAAACCTATGAGAATTAATGATTTTGGTATCTTCGGGCCTTCCTGGAGGACCTCTTGGAGGCCTCTTGGGTCGTCTTGGAGGCCTCTTGGGGGGCCTCTTGGGCCGTCTTCAGGTTATCTTCAGGCTATCTTAGGCCGTCTAGGGTACATCTTGGGCCGTCTTGGAGGCATCTTGGGGCCATCTGAGCCGTCTTGGAGGCCATCTTGGCCGTCGTGGAAGCATCTTGGAAGCCATCTTGGGCCATCTTGGAGCCGTCTGGGGCAGGAAAACCCACGGCAACCACCTCCGGAAGAGCCTCCGGGGACCCCATCGGGACGTGCCGAAGGCCCAGGGGGAGTTCTTTTTGGAAAAAGAACCAAAACCAAAACCGAGAGGGTCTAGCGCGCCAGGCACCCCTGTGATGAATCAACAGGGGGCTTCGGATCGAAGACGCCAACGGCGAATCACCGCCGCCCCCTGCCTTTTTGGAAACGCCTATGTGGCCGAAAGTTGAGGCCAGACCTGCCAAGCTATCAGACCATGTGTTCCCCGAATCGGTTTTGAAAGCCTTCGGGGAACACGTGGGCATCTTGAAGGTCATCTTGGCCGTCTGGAGGCCGTTTTGACCCTTCCGGGTCTTCTTGGAGGACGTCTTGGAGGGCTCTTGGGCCGTCTTGGAGGCCATTTTGAGCGTCT